ATAAAATAAATTAAATAATAACAAATTATTTTATTTTTTCTTCCTAATTTTGACAGAAAACCACTTTCTAATATTGGGGTTTCCTGAGGATTTCTGGAGTTCAGCACTCCTGAAAAAACTTTTTCATACTGAGTTTTAAACATTTAATTTAAAATCAATCTACAATTCATTTCTAAAGGATCACTTGAGTTTGGCTTTCCCCAGAATGCATTTCCTTTTTCTTGCTTCCAGTAAACACACTATTTTGCTGTAACTCTGAGTTAATAGATTTGTAAACCAATAGGGATTGCTTTTTTTTTTTTTTTTTTTACTGGAATGTTAAAAATTGTCAAGCACTGATTGAAGTTGGCTACTGGAGTCAGTTGAATAAATGGGGGAAAAAAAATCAAATCTGTATCCTTGATATGCAGACATAGTTTTGTAGTGAATTTTTAGTAAGATTTCAGATGTGGAAATACAACCTCACCTACAACAATTTGCTTGGAGCCATGTACCTTGTTTGGAAATGTTTCTGTTAGTGTGCTTTTATGATAACCACTGTTCCTTTCCTAGGAAAGGTTACCGGACTGATGCCACTGTCTCTGTATTTCTTGGGTTTCTCCTTTTCCTCATTCCAGCAAAAAAGCCATGTTTTGGAAAAAGGGAAAAAGGTAAGGAGGATGCAGCAAGAAAGAGATCTGGCACATTTTCCAGTGCCTTTAATGATACTTTACTGTGCTCTGTAAAATTTTCCAAGAAAATATTTTTATTGTGGAAGTTCAGGGTTCAGTTTTTCTGCTGATACCAGCCCCTCCTACATCAAACCCCTGGGGTTTTGTTGCTTTAATTCATATTGTCTTGTCCAGCAGATTACAAACAGATCTTGCATCTGAGGCCACCATCTCTTCTGTGTTTACAGAGTTGTCAAAATTTAGCCCTGACTTTTATGAAAGGTTGAGATGGAGTCCATATAGAGAACTATAATGCAGATGTTTGCAAAATCGGTTGAAGATAAGCTCTAGTAAATAATTTGGTCATCACTTATACAGCAGAAATCATTGATCAAGTAAACATAAAAGAGGTCAGCAAATGTCAGACAAAGTTCCAAGTTTGGGCAATGCTTCTCTCACAGTCTTCTTGATAATAATAATAATGACTGTTATTTCACATTCCTGTTTAGATAGCACTCAGAGGTATTGATTAGTTTGCTGTGACAGGCTTTCAACACTCCCATATGAAAATAGAGTCTGCATAGAGTCTTACGTAGAGATTATAAATGTACATAGATATGTTTATTTTTTATACTGACATATATACAATATTTAGGAAAAATTACACTAACTCCTACTTCAAGAAAATACTTAGGCATCTAAAAAAATAATGTCCTCAGATAAAACCTAGGGACATAAATGCACTTTATCAAGCTTCATGGACTACTGAAGAGAGAAAATGCCCTTCTTTGAGAAAATAGTCCCACTGTAACTCCATCTTTGTAGTCTACAGATACATTGTGCATATACACAACAAAGTACACAGTCCCTCAAAAAGCTATAGAATTAAACAGATGGGTTTATAACTATTCACATCAACAGAGCAGCCAAGGGGAAATCAGGACATTTGGAATTAATATGCTGCATTTTCTGAGGCCGATCTAATCAGAGAAATAGGCTGTGTGTTTCTTCTTCACCTCTCTCATAAACAGTTCTCAAGATAACTCCCATGGATATTACATTATTCCTACCAGGGTGAAAAAAAAGTGAAGATCTTTGCAAAAACGCCAATGTAAAACTGGTCACACATTTGCTTTATTTTGATATAGGAGATGGTGAAAAGTCAACAGACATTAACACACTAGATCCCATCATTACCTGGAAGGACTTCCAGAAGACCATGCCCTGGGAAATTGTAGTGTTGGTCGGAGGAGGGTATGCCTTAGCAGCCGGATGCAAGGTACTGATTTAGATTTTATCCTCCTACCTAAAAAAAAACTATAAACCTGGACTTTTATCCCTTTGTATGCTCCCCAGTTTGGATTTACAATGTGGATACCTTCCAAGTTTGTACATAACCTAGTCCCTACTCCCTGCGCTCAATGGACAGCTATCTAGCTAACAAAAAGATGGCTAGGGCTCAAGTCAATTGTGTAAGCATCTGCCATTTCAGATGCTTTAGAATATCTAGATATTCCTGCAAGGCTGGCAGATGACAGGATCTGAGGGACACCTGACACTTTCTCAACTAACAGCTAACCAGAGGGGGGGACATCTCAGCTGCCACTGGATGCTCTTCTTTCGGCAACTGAGTCAAGCTCCTAGCGCTGACTGGACAAATCATACTCTAGGATCTACTGACTATATCGGCACTCAGTATAATTCATGAATACACATCTAGCTCTCCTACATGTAGAGAACTAAATCTGTGTATTTTACTCTCAAAATGAATTCTACCCAGACTGTGCAATCCTTCATCACCAATTTGCAATAGTCTGGTTCACATGCTGAAGAAAGAGGGATCAGCCTTGGTGCCTTTTTAATGTTATTAACTGCAAAATGTATCTCTTTGTTACTATGGACAACTATTTATTAGGCACTGCAGTGAAATCCAGGTTACTGAACAAAAGGAAATGCAGAAAGCATTGACCTTAACTTTGCTTATTTGCTGATGGGATTCTCTGATGCAAATTGCCCCAAAGAGAAGAAACTGTTTTACAAACTTGTGCTTCTGTCCTTTCCCCAGACCTCTGGCCTTTCTACATGGATTGGACGCCAAATGCTCTCCCTGAGCAGCCTTCCCTACTGGGCTGTAACTCTGCTGGCCTGCATTTTGGTGTCCCTGGTAACAGAGTTTGTTAGTAATCCAGCAACCATAACCATCTTTCTGCCTATTTTATGCAGCATGGTGAGTAAAAACAGTGACATTTTCAGTCTGTTCTTTCCTGACAGGCCTGTGGGAATGTTTCAGGACATCAGGGTATTGGCACTCTGATCACTTGAAACCCAGCCTTGGTTCCCCAAGCTACTGTTCTGTAGTCTTGCATTTAGGAAAAATAATAAACTCAGGCAATCAAAAACATATTTTAGCACCAATAAATTTATTCAATACATCTCAGACAAAGTGAAAACATAGATCCTGCACTGAGGATAGGCTAAGTACAAGAAAAGCTGACGATGCAATCAACAAGATAGGTGAAGTCCACATAAAGCTTGAGATACTCTTATCAATGATATTTTAAATGTGTTCTTCATTAGTTAGTGGTCACCCACTCAACACTTGTCAGAAAAGACTAAAGTACTGAATTTTACATCTGATTTAAATGTGTTCAAGGGGGTGATCTGGTAAGCATGCTATCGTCCAACATGGAAAGCAGACATGTTTGTAAGGGACAGAAAAAAAGAAAAAAAAAGTTACAAATTTCAATCTATATTAGAATAGCAGTTGCAGAAAACCATCTTATTTCTTTTCTTTTATGTAATGTGAAACTTTTCTTACCAAGAACGCAGGTCATTAATTGTGTTTACCTATTATAACAATTTTATGGGATTGTCCCAAAG